AGTGCCATGAACCAAGATTTCACACAGCAGTGGGCTTAAGAAATGGTTTCTTGTCTAAACGCTGTGTGTTTGTGCACACATGTGGCGGTCAGAGGACAACCTGCAGAAGTTACTTCTCTCTTCCTGCCAGGGAGGTTTCGGGAATCAAACTCAGGTCGGCGGGTTTGATGGCCAGCACGTTAACCAGCTGAGCCGTCAGCACCGCAGGCCAGTAATTTCCAGAACACAGGCAAAGAAGTAGCTCGTTTTAAAATGGTCTGAGACGTCCAGGGAAATTCCTTTCAATATCAGACATGCACCTTATCTCAGGGAAATAGATGAGCTTTCTAAGTGAGAATCACAGGTGAGGTCATCTCACACAGAAAAGTCTATTCATGGCCCAGGAGGAGGACGTCCAGAGAGGAAAGTGCTTTATTAAAAAATAATATTGGAACACCTAAAGAATACAGGACTGTACCAAGAGGAAAAGACCACAGAAGTGAGTTGTAAAACCTACCTAGTTAAACCCTTCAAACGAGTAAGGTAGAGCCTGAGACTTAAACTGTGCTCCCGTTGACATCCCAAAGGAAACCAGGAGCACCCCTGAATTCAGCTCATCCATCCCTAATCCACGCATCCTAAATAATGAGACAAAGGGAGTCAGGTCTGGGAAATGCCAGGTCCTTGTTTACACATCCCAAGCCACGGATCTTCAAGCGGCTCCCAAGGCTGGAGAGGCTTCGGATGCTGATTCCCAAGGATGCAGAGACACCTACTTGCCACAAGGAGGCTCTTTTCCTTACTGTTTCCCTTTGGCAAGTGAAAACACCTAGGAAAGACAAGTGTAGCCTACAACAGCTTTCGTTTCTATTCTCACTTCTCCTGGTAGTCTACAAAATAATGGGTTAGTCTTTAGAAACAAACCATTGTTAGCAGGAGCCAACAGCTAATGCTTATTAGGCATCAACATAACCTCCATGTATTTTTAATGTGGCAGCACAGAACATTTAGGAGAAAAATTGAAACTTCAATTGCCAGGATTAATATATACTCAGACAGGGCCTGCAAGTATAATGAAAACTGAACATTGTTTTCTTTAAGACAAAGTTACTGAGGACTCAATTGCTGGGTCTTAAGTGAATCAACTCTTTAAAAAAGTAAAGTGTTGCTATGTATGGTGGCACACACTTTTTTTAATCCCAACACTCAGAAAGCAGAGAACTCTGTGAGTTTAAGGCCAGTCTAGTCTATACAGTGAGTTCCAGTCTAGTGAGGGCTACATAATAAGATCCCCCCCCTCTCTCTCTCTCACACACACACACACACACACACACACACACACACACACACACCACGGAGGCTATTTGTTTATTTAGTTAGAGACAGCTAGATAGTCGAGACCGGCCTCAGAATTCAGAATCCTCCTGCATGCACAGATTATAAACATACTACCATAACCAGTTAGGAATTCTTGCTCATTGTAATCTTGCTTTCATAAATTTAAATGCAGTTAAAAATATTTAGTAAGTAGACCTAAATTTTCTATCTTATTGGCTACATTGAGTACAAATACCTCTAAAATTCTAGAACTACAGCTTTTCTTTATACATGAATTTCTCATCTATGAATTAACCTCCTTCTAAGAGTAACATCTCAAAGTGAACACAAATCTCATTCTCTTGGGATATGGTGTTTTATGAATAAGAAAATCATCTTACAGGTGGTGATGAGTACGGCAAGTGCAGAAAGCTTCATTGACGAATTTTTAGAAAACAAAGACTATTAAGCCTTTCCAGACAGCAGAACAAGCAGACTCAGTTTCAGTGTTCAAAGTTCCCTGTAGAGAAAGGCGCAGTGTTTGGTAGCTACTCTCTCTGCTTCTCCACAAACTACACAAAATCTAATAGAGACGCCTCTGGGGTTTCTTTTTAAAATAATGGATTTTTTAGTAAGGTTTCTGACTAAAACTGAAGCAAATTTTGTCATGACTAAGAAATTTTTCAAAAGTAGGGCTGGAGAGATGGCTTATGGGTAAGAGCACTTGGGGTACAAACATGAAGACCTGACTCCAAATACGCGGACCTGACTTAAACGTCAGTGTGGCTGTAACCTCAGAGCTGTGGGGGGCGTGCACAGGAGGATCCTCGGGTCTGCTGGTCACTAGCATAGATCCAGGTTCAGTGAGAGATCCTGTCTCAGGAGAATAAAGTGGAAACTCACAGAGCAAAACAGTGCCCTCCTAAGGCAGTGGTTCTCAACCTGTGGGTCATTATCCCTCTGGGGGTCAAATGACCCTTTCACAGGGGTCACTTAAGACCATCAGAAAACACAGATGTTTACATTACGGTTTATAACAGTAGCAAAAGTACAGTCATGAAGTAGCAATGAAAATAATTTTATGGTTGGGGTCACCACAACATGAGGAACTGTGTTAAAGGGTCACAGAATTAGGAAGGTTGAGAGCCGTTGACCTATGTATTAAAGGGTCGTGACATTAGGAAGGTTGAGAACCACTGTCCTATAGCCCACAGACACACACATGCCCACATGCATACACACAGGACGCACAAAAATTTAATTTAAAAAATTCTTCATTGAAGTACCTCCAACTTAAAATTACAAATCAGTAAAAGTGAGCCATGTGCAAACAATTTAAGTAGTTTAAGAACCCTTAGCTAAGCTGGGCGGTGGTGGAGCACACCTTTAATCCCAGCATTCGGGAGGCAGAGCCAGGCGGATCTCTGTGAGTTCGAGGCCGGCCTGGGCTACCAAGTGAGTTCCAGGAAAGGCGCAAAGCTACACAGAGAAACCCTGTCTCGAAAAACTGAACCAAA